CAGTGGCCGTGGCGCTGCCTTCCCACGCGTCCCGCAGGGATGTGGGCTGTGGAGAGCAGAGCCTGGGGAGCCGCAGGAGAGGGCAGGGGAGGTTAGGAAAACACCCATTAAACCACATTAACATTTCATGACCTGATCGGAGGAGAGTAAATTACCCCGTTCAAATCCAACGACCATGAAAAGGCAAATGACATCTGGGGTTATTAATTAATTGAGAGATGCTGGGGTGGGAGCGGGGGCTGGAGCAAATCCACAGGGTTACAGTGCTGATATCTCTGAGCATTATGGGCCAGGACTGGCATTTCCCCTACACCTATTTCCTGCGGGATGCGGCCAGGAGGGAGCAGAGCTGGACCCGCCGGCTGCTGCCTGGCGGGATGGAGCTGGTGGTAACCACGGTGGTGGTGGGCATCAGGATAGCTCTGCCAGGATTTGAGCCAGGGGAACATCTACAGCACCCCGTGCCCGCCCCAACACCAGCATGGGTGCTGGGGGGGGGGGCTGGCGCGGGGTAGACTGCCGAGATCTGCGGCTTACGCCCCAGAGGGGGATCCGGCCCCATCCACTGGCATTCAAAGCGCCTTTTCATCTGCTGTGCACCTGCACGGCCCCAGCACACCTTCTGGGAGGGCGAGGGGAAGCTGCTGCTTTCCAGCCTGTTTCCGTAGGGACAGAAAGTGGCTGTTTTGGCCGGCTGCTGGGGGCCCCATCACGTCGCATCACCCACCACGTCCCCTCTGCGTCCCCTCTGCAGCTGATTTGGCCGCAAGAACCGTTCAGGCCCAGGTACATCAGGTGCTTTTAAACCCTGCTCGAGGCAGGACCTGCACTGCTGGATGTTCTGGGGGACGAGCATCCCCTGGTGCGAGGGGCTGGCTGCTCGCAGGGAGACCTTCATGGCAGGCAGGAATCTGAGAACAGTGCGGAGCTCTCCTAGCTTAACATCAGATGATTTTAAAGGAGCTATTTTGTTTGGGCTGCAGAAGCTCCTCTCCCCAGGAGCACAGCCAGCACTGCCAGAGAACTGGTTAGATAACTCAGTGGGTCTGTGTGATCAGAGACACAAGCTAAATGGATGCGAGCCAGGTTTGTATGAGCACTTGGGAAGCTGGGTGCAAGCAGGGGTTTAATTAAACCAAGGCAATCACATCAAAGCTGGTCCCTGTGCAGATACCCTTCTTAACTTGCAAGAATAATTAATGAGTTTGAGTTAAACTTGTTCCCTCTTGATTGAAGTGCAGCCTGATTGAGCTGGTGGCAGTGCCTGTTGGCACTTAGCAGGTACTGCACCAGTGCCCAGGTTTGCAGTGGGTTTGCACCAGGTGAAAGCAGAGCTGGGAGCTGCTCTGACAGCTCAGCTGATGTGGGGTAACACATTTGGGCACCCAAACCCCAGCCCCAGCAGCCAGGTTGAGCCCTGGGTTACAGAGGATGAGCTCCCCAGCAGGTATAAATCAGGGCAGCCCCCTCCTTAAGGCTGGGTATGGTTTCTTTGCATCCCTGGGAGGTCTGGCTCAGGGGAAGCTGTTCCCTTGCTGCTGGTTTTGAGGGGGTGCCTTTACTTTGAATGCAGATTGCAGTGGGAGGCTTTCGAGAGGGGGGAAAAAAGAGCTAGCAACTTCCTAGCATGAGCTTGGCTGTAGGCAGGAGGAAGGTAGAGGTGGGTTCAGTCCTGCTGGTATCAGGGCCAGCTTTGATGATAAAGCGGAGGGGTTTGGAGCAGAGCAAGAGCTGGGCAGCTGCTTGTGGAGGAGGGATGAGCAAGGAAGCATGGGCTCGGACATCACGCAGGTAAGCGAGGGCTGCAGCCTCCCTAGTGCCTAGCTGCAATCCCTGCCTTTGCTTCACCCCAGCTGAAAACTTGGGCTGTAGAGCAGCTCTTCCTGGTTAAGCTTCACCTTCAGGGCTTCGCTAGAAGAAGCAGGAGCGGTCGTAGAGACACCACATGCAGGATAATGTGATTCCCCCTGTTTAACACCCCCATCCCCAAGGCAGCAAGCATGGATAAGCAGGGTGTGTGCCCCCGTCGCTTCACCCTGCTGGGAAAATCAAGCCAGGATGGAGCATCATCCCTGGGTGGCAGCGGGGGATGCTTCCCATCAGGCTCCAAAGTGACCCGGGGAACTGCCGTGAGCTGCCTCTGGGATGGAGCAGGCAGCAGCGAGCCGGAGCCAGCGGTGCTCTCCCCAGCCTGCGTTTCTGCAGCTTACTGCAGGGGAATGTTTTCCCTCTGGTTCAGTAAATGGCAATTTTAATGTGCCCTGCCAGAGCAGTTTTGGTTTTAAGCAAACACTTTGGGTGAAGCCCCGGCTCTGCTGACGTCAATGGCCAAATTCCCCCAGTGTGCATGCCATCCAGAGCCTCCTCTAAGTCCTTCCCAAAAGTTGCTTTTGTGCTTGAGCTTTTTGGTCATCCGGAACAAGAATCCTCACAAGCCTTGTGTGTTTTTACTAGCAACAAACTCATGAACTAGAAAAGTGTGTAAAATGTGTGGGAAGGACAGAAATGCATCTACTTTTTTTTTACTGCTTTAAAAGATCCCTTAAGAAATAAGGCTATTCAGTAATACTTCCTAATAATTCTATTTAGAGAGGGAAGTACTTAATATTTCAAGTTTTATTTTAAGAAATGCGCTTGTTCAGCCCAACACTAGAGAAGAACACATTTATCTTGCAGGAAAGCATTTGTTTCTCAGAGGAAAGCATTTTCCTTGAATTCACTTCTAGCTCAATCGTTTGACTCCTGGAAAGCAGGCGGGGAAATAGCAGGGGAATGCTCTTAAGTTATTTCCAGATGAGCTGCTCTTTATAGGATACATAATTGTACGAAACCCCAGCCCTTTGCAGCAAACTGCAGCAGGTTTCCCACAGCAGTGCATGAATCAAGTGGGGAGATCGCAGCCTTGCCTGACAGCCCGTTACCCTCAGTTGTTGCAAATTCAGGTTAAGTGATGCTTTGGTTAGAACTGCCTGATGCTTCGAGGCTGCGTGGGAAGAGTTAAGCATCTTCCCTGCAGGTCTGGGTCTCCTGAAGGGCCGGGAATAAAATCAGTGCAGTCTCAGAACTGGCTGATGTCCCTGTGGATGTCCTTCCCGTGCTGCCCTGCAGAGCCTGGCCCTCGCCATGGCTCCTGCTCCAGCCCTTCGAGCCGGAGGAGTGATGTTCCTTCCCCCTGCCCTGATTCCTATAACCCTGTGCACAAATGCACCCTTTGCAGGTTATTTAAAGCCCAGCGTCAGGGCTTTCCATCGCTGCTCCCATGCACCAGCTGCTCATCCCTGCTTGCTGCTGGTGGAGGTGACTGGAAAATGCCTTGCAGGGATTTTCCTTGCGTGGGGGAAGGTGCCCTGTGCTGAGGGGTGTCCTCGAGCCCTGGTGCTGCCAGCGAGGCAGGTCAGCCTCAGGGCTAGCACTGGCCGCTGCAAGGCAACAGCCCTCAGTTCTCTGACGGGCTTGGGTAAGTTGGTTTTGCCTGTTTATGCCTTGTTTTCCCTTCCAAAGGGGTTGTGGTACTGTACCCTTGGCAGGGAATGGCTGTTTTCCTCCAGGACTGGAGCGGGCTGGTGCTCCCTTTTCCCCGCAGCCCTCCACCATTCCCAGCTGCATCCCGCTCTGGCTGCCCCCCAAAGAGAGGAACCCATCTGTTCCTCCCAGGGGAAAGCCATGCCCAGAGCATCTAACGCTCCTCGGGGCTCCTGCAGACGTGCCTCCCCCTGGCCATGGGTCAAAGGGGAGATGGAAATGCCGGAGCCCCACGGCCCCACATCCTGGGACCATCTTCCCCTGGCTGACGTGGCCCCTTTCCTTTGAAGTCACGCTGCAGCTCCGGCCTCTCCTTTGGGAAACGGGGCTCGGCAAAGCGGGCAGAGCCTGCGGGATGCCCGGGAAGGGGATTTATGTCCCGTGGCTCCCCGCCAGGCTCTCTCTCACGTCGCTGCGGCTCCTGGGCTGGGCCGCTGCCTCCTGACCTCTGCGCCTCGCTGCAACCTGCGCGGGGCACGAGGCTCCCCTGAGTGACGCAGCGCCGGGGCTCAGCGTGGGAAAAGACGTCAGGGCCGGGGGGAGCGGGGCTGTGACCCACAGGACAGAGCCTTGGTGCCCGCCAAGGTCAGCCTTCCCCTGGCTCCAAGCACCGCAGCCAAAATCCCACAGGGGAAGGAAGCGTTAAAGCCCCAGTTTTGGAGGGGAGCTGCCTGTAGCTTGTGGGGTGTCCTCCTCGCCCCCCCCAGCACCGGTGTCCCCTGGACAAGGGTGACAGCAGTTCCCTAAACAAATCCCATGCGCAACAGGAGCGCACTGGCGTGATTGCATAGCTGGGGGTTTCGAGGCGGGGACAAGCGTGTCATCAGGTTTCTCCCAAGAACATTTTTATTGCCTTTGCAGTCATTTCCCACCGAGGTTCCCTGAGGTCAAGCGCTGGGCTGGGAGCCACGGGGCCTGATCCAGCACCCACCACCCTGGGCTGGGCACTGCTTGGGGAAACACAGCCATGTGCGAGCTGGGGGCCAGCGATGCACCTTGTACGAAGGAGTTCCCTGCAGCCCACGCTGAGGATTTTGAGCAGCATCTCCCTTCCAAAACACAGGGCAGGGCTGGGCACAGCAGCTCGGGCACCCAGAGCCACGCTGGGCTCCTCTGCACCCTGCTTGTACAAGATGGAGAACAGACCGCTCCTCCCGACCGTGGTGTGCCTGGCCGGCCTGTGGACACTTGTACCTTGATCTAATATCATATGCAACAACTGCAATGAGTTTAGCTGTTCTCTGTCCCAGGCTCTGTATTAAGGCTCTGCTCCCTCACTGGTTTAATAGACCTGGGGGGGCTTTTCCCCCCTCTCTGTGCTCAGAGCAGCCCCCAGAAGGGCAGTGGGGCCTGGTAGGTTTGCAGTTGGTGTCTGCGTGGCCGAGGGGGCTGTGGCTGAGTGCCCTTTGCTGTTCCCACCCCCAGACCTTTGGGGAAAAACCTGTTCCTCTGCAGCATGGAGCTCAGGGGCATCTCCTTGGCCAGACTGCCGTCTAGACCTGAGCCACCACTACCTGCGTCAGCATCACCCACCAGCTCTCCTGACTGACACCAGCAGGCATTTGGCCCGTGCCCTGCACGCGCCGTGTTAGCGATGGCCAGGTGCTGACACGTAGCAATGCTATTAACCGCAGGGAGCGTGGGTTCATGGCTCCCAGCTATTCACAGCTCCCCTTGCCAGCCACATTTGTCAGTTGTGCCCACCTGCCACCGGGCACAGGGCTCTCCCGGCTGTGCCACCCTCCGCAGGGGCCGTCACGGTCAGCATTTAGCTACCTGCCCACAGTGCTGCCTGCAGGATCCCCAGCCCTGCCCCGGCCGGCGGGGAGGAGAGACCCACACTGATGCAGAAACCCAGGCTATAAAAGCATCCTCCCCTTTGGGACGCAACGAAGCTGCTGGCAAAGGAGGCGGCTGCCCTGGGAGAGCGCGATGCCGGCAGGACGCAGCAGGAGGGTGCAGCAGTATCTCGTGGTCTTGGCTGTGACCTGGGGCGCCAGCTTCTTCCCCTCGCCAGCCCAGGCTTTGCAGAGGTAGCAGGCGTGCGTGTTGCAGGTGGCCCACAATGTTGTGGGTCTTGCTGTCTCCCCTTGGTTTTGGGTGCTTGGGACCAACGGACTCTCCTCCCGCGGCACCTGCTTTAGCCGTGCTGGGAAACCCCCTTCCACCTCCTTTTCTGTTCTGCGCTAGCACACCTGCTCTTCCTTGCTCCTCTTCCTCTCTCCCCTCGAGCACCGCGTGGCTCAGCAGCACCCCTGTCTCCCAAATAACCAAGGAGGCCAAGACAAAGCGTTTCACCTGCAAAGCAAATGAGTCGAGCGCGGGGCTGGGCTGAGCCCGTGGGTGGCTGCTTGGTGTCGGTGGATGCCTCCTGCGGCAGCCAGCCCCCGTGGGGTCCCTGCCCTGGGT